AAGTTACAAAGCATAATATTAACTGTCTTCCTGTGTCCACACAGAAAGGACATTGCTTACAATACAAGTTCAGTGTCCTTAGATGGGTGTGACCTGACAAACCTAAGCTACCTGAGGAAGGACAAAAGAGTGTTATCCTACACCTTGGGGCACACCCAGGCATATGTGGCGAAGCACGGAAGGTCCCACACACCACAGCTATGTCACGGCTGGTGGGGCTCTTGTGCTTCAGGGGGGCTAAGGGACGTTTGGGTGTGGCTTGGGATTTGGCGGGAGCAGAGAGTGTCTCTCGCTGCCGGCTTTGCAGCTGTGTCTGTCCTGAGCACGTGACGCCAGTGCTGTGATTTGCGTTCCATACTCCCGTGGGAGCCAAGAGGTTATACCAGCCCTGGCATTAAAGTGTGGAACAGAGTCGCTGTGATGCTCAGGGACCACGAGAAGCCTGAGACTGAATCAGGGAGGCAGCCGTGGCAGGGCGTCTGTCTTAGGCCCTGCACCGTCCCTCTTGGCCCCAACACGCCAGTTTTGTTGGAGGCCACACCCGGTGGTGTTCAGGGTTTACTCCTGGCTCTACACTCATGGGCGAGGCTTGAGGGAACTTGTTGGGTGCCAGGGATCAAACCCAGAGCAGCCACACGCACAGCAAGTGTTCTCCCCACTGGATGTTGACTCCAGGCCCAACGTCATTGTGTTTTATTTTTTCTTATTGCTTTATTGAATCACCATGAGATACAGTTACAAAGCTATTCACGATCGGGTTTCAGTCATACAATGCTACAACACCCGTCCCTTCACCAGTGTCCCAGCTTCCCTCCTGCCACCCCCTCTCCGCCCCAGCCTGCCTCTATGGCAGGCACTCTTCTTCTCTGTCTCTCTGTCTATCTCTGTCTCTGTCTGTATGTCTGTCTCCAACCCCCCCCCCCATTTGTGCATTATGGTTTGCAATACAGACACCGAGAGTCATCACGTTTTGTCCTTTACCAAACCCTTTCAGCACACATCTCCCATCCCGAGAGATTCCTCCAATTATCCTTGTCATAGAGGTTCTTTTTCTAACCCAGCTGCCCTCTTCCCCAACTCTTCTTTTTTCTTTATTGATTCGCCGTGAGGTATAGTAACAAAGCTTTCATGTTTGTGCTTCAATCATACAATCATCAAACACCCATCTTTTCAAGAGCACACATTTTTGTATTTTGGTCACTGTTTCTTTTGAGGTGCAGAAGCTTCTTAGTTTCAAGATAGTCCCATTTGTCTATCTCTGTTTTCACTTGCTCGGCCAGTGGCATGTCATCTTTGAAGATACCATTAGCTTCAATGTGCACTCTTGAAAGGATGGGTGTTTGATGATTGTATGATTGATATTATCTCACACCACAGAGACTGGCCCACATCCAAAAGAACAAAAGCACCGGAGTTGGTGCAGATGTGGCAAGAAAGGGACCCTCCTTCACTGCTGGTGGGAATGTCAATTGGTTCAGCCCTTTTGGAAAACAGTATGGATGCTTCTCAAAAAATTAGAAATTGAGCTCCCATTTGACCCAGCAGTACCACTCCTGGGAATATATCCCAGAGAGGAAAAAAGTACAGTTGAAATGACATCTGCACTTGTATGTTCATTGCTGCACTGTTCACAATAGCCAAAATTTGGAAAAAAAATCTGAGTCCCTGAGAACAGATGACTGGTTAAAGAAACTTTGGTATATTTACACAATGGAATACTGGTTAACTGTTAGAAAAGATGAAGTCATGAAATTTACATACAAGTGGTTCTACATGGAAAGTATCATGCTAAGTGAAAAGAGCCACAAAGAGAGGGACAGACATAGAAAGTGTGCACTTATCTGGGGAATATAAAGTCACAGAATGGGAGACGAACACTCAAGAATAGTTGAGATAAGTACCAGGAGGTCTGCTCCATGGCTTGGAAGCTGGCAGCACATGCTGGGGGGAAAAGGCAGCTCAGATAAAGACGGGAACACCAAGTAAAGGATGTTTGGAGGATTCGCTCAGGATGCGAGATGCGTGCTGAAAGTAGACTATAGACTGAACATGATGGCCATTCAATACCTCTATTGCAAACCACAACAACCTAAAGGAAAGAAAGAGCAAAAGGGAATGCCCTGCCACAAAGGCGGGGCGGTTGAGATGGGAGGGCAACTAGGATCATTGGTAGTGGACAATGGGCACTGGTGAAGGGATGGGTACTTTATCATTGTATAACTGAAACCCAAGCATGAAAGTTTGTAAGTCTACAAATGCACCTCTTGCTGGTTCTCTAATATAAAAAAAAAAAGAGAGCACGTTTTCCACCACCAAAGTCCCTGGTATCTCCCCGACAACCCCCCCCCCTACATTCACCACCTACCGCTTCCTGTGTGGCAGACAATTTGCCCAATAATGTCTTTATCTACTTTGGTTAACTTCGATATTTGCGTCCAGTTCCAGCACCACTCATTCTTTCCAAAAATATAATGCTAGACAATGAGTTTTGTATTGCTTGCTATGGATACAATATAATGCCGTGCAGCTGTTCTTGCAGTTCCAAAGTTTTAATAATTAGGTTTTGGAGGATCGCTGCAGCAAGTTGCTCAGGTCCAAGATTCATTTGTGTGTCTCTGGATCATGGCTGTGTGGGAGCTTAAGTAGATGGTGGCTGTGTGGGGAGAAGGAGAAGGACCGACTCCTCTCCGATCCCATGAGGCCTGGCGTTTCCTGCCACCGCCACCCATACCTGGAGGTTTTCACTGTGTTCTAGAAGATGGTGTCTGCCGGGGTTCCTAGAGGACAGGTGGAGGGACGGCACCTGCCCCCAACTAGAGTGGCCCGGCAAAACACTCTGCAGTAGCAAAGTCCAGAGCCATCTCTGCAGCAAGTTGCTTGGGTCTGAGAGTCATTGGTGTGTCCTAGATCATTTATTTTCCCTTGCTCATTTTATGTATCATGAAAGATCATGTGGCTGCATAAGTGGCTGTGTGCTTCTGAGATTCTAAATTATAAATGGTTGGTTCCAGAGACATCGCTGTAGGGAGCTATTCCAATTCGGTTTGGAGAATTAGTCCCGACACCTGCATACCAGAGTATTGCTTGTATGCGTGCTCATAGTCACCGGGATTCCACCTGGAGAAGGCGGGAGACTGCACCTGCTCCATCCGGGGCATCCCGGTGAAGTCAGCTTGGTATCGGGTCTGGAGAAATCTCCAGTGCTGTGATTTCCTCTGGGATCATCACTACTATGTGCGGCAAGATGGTTCCTGGAGGCAGGTTGGGGGCCTGATTCCTGACATCGGGAGCAGACAGGAAGGCAGGATGAAATTGCCTGGTTCCAGTGCTGCCATGTGGTTTGGAGAGTTAGTCCTGACACCCACATACCGGAGCCTTGCTTGTAGAAGCTCATGATCACCGGGATTCCATCTGGAGAAGGTGGGGAGACTGCACTTGAAGAGTCATTATTTCTTACCATGTATTCCTGCCCCTTTACCTCAGCAGTGCCCACTGAGCATAGCACAAGAGAGATGAAGTCTTTCCTGCACGCTCACTCGCTGCCACGGATGCAAGGTCAGTTCTCACCTGGGGGCAGGGGTTGGGGGAAAGCAGGTTTTCCTGTGCATTCCACAGGATTAATGGTGCATGGCATGTTAATAACGTGGAATGCAATTTTATTTCAGGGATTTTGTTTTTCAATGTCAGCATTAACATTTAACTCTTCACCCGTTTTCTCCCCTTCTGCTTTGAATCTTCTGGATTTTTTTCTGTTGATATGGCAGCCGAAGACCTCCAGGACCAGCCACCACCATGCTGAGACCACTCTCCGCACACATGAAGGTACTGGCAGAGGGACAAAGCCACGCGGGTTCCGGGGCCGAGACCTCCAAGCCTACTCGAATTGAAGTCGAGCATCTTCCACCCAGATCCTCCAAATTCCAGTAGGCGGGGGTCACACCCACCACCTGGCCCCCTGGCGCCGTGTAATCCCATCAGCGGCCAAGACTCAGAGACTATAAAATCCAGATCCCGGACGAGAAAAGTGCAGTCTCTGCCCCCGCGCCTGGGTGTTCCTTCCCGGGGCCCCTTGGAGGGGAGCGGGTTGAGCTTTCCTCCCCGCCCCGACCAGGGCTCCGGCAGCCGAAGACCTCCAGGACCAGCCACCACCATGCTGAGACCACTCTCTGCACACATGAAGGTACTGGCAGAGCATCTTAACAGAACTTTTTTTTTTATGACATCTTATTGTCTTATTCCTACTTTGGACAAACTTGCAGGCTATCGAATGTAGCCTGCCCACAGGGCAGAGTCTGGCAAACTCCCCGTGGCGTACCAAATATGCCAAATACCAGTAACAATGATGGGTCTCATTCTCCTAAATAGCCTTGAATATAATCTCAGGGCTAGGATGAAAGAGACGTTACTGGGGCCTGCTCGAGGCAATTGACGAATAACAGGATGATGAAATGAAATGAAATGAAATGAATGTGTCAACACCATGGCCTGGCCATGGTGAGCTCAGCGGTTCTGTGCAAAGATGCCGGCCCCTCTCGGGTTTATCAGCTGCCAAGACAACCACTTTGGAATATCTGGAAGCCTCTTTGCTCCACGGAGCTCCTGGACCTGAGCCAGGAGCTTTTGATCTCGCACAATGTTGCTCAAGTTTGCTGGAATCTTCTCTGCTCAGCAAGATCCTTTATTTGTGGCCCAGCAACTTCCTGTGGGCTTTGAGGTTGGCCGAAGTATCAGCTGGCCAGAGTGCACACTCTCCAGGCCAGTGTCCACCCAACTGGATGCAGAATCCCATGATTATGATGCCCGTGGGGTGCCCAGGTGACTTATGTCCATTGGAGAAGAGAGACGGAAGCCTTGAGAAGGGGACCTGCCACTTTCTCCCCATCAGCCTCTTCCACCCTGGGACCAGCTGGGAAGACTCCAACTGGTGACGTCTGCGATGAGCCCCTGCATGGCACTCACCTTACATCCTGCCAGCCCCGATAGGCAGACACTGACTACACCTACGTCTCCTTGTTGGCTGCTGCATGGGAGTTACTCCCAGCACCCAATTTCTTGGGGGACACGGGCTCAGGCTTCAGCCAGCCACAGCTCTACAGCAAAGGAAGTAAATCCTCAAGCTCCCCCAGGCTTCTCTGCTCTAAGGGATTCCAGAAGGATACAACATTCAAGCGAAAAAATAGACGATATTGGGAGGTTTTAAGGAAGGGGAGGGAGGGAAGAGAGAAAGAGGGAGAGATAGATAGAGACAGACATAGAGAGACAGAGAGATAGAGGGGGAGGATGAAGGAGAGAAAGAGAGAGAGTACAGTCCTTCTGGTTTTCCACTGGGATGGAAACTTGCATTCAGACAGGTAGCGTGTGAAGAGCCGAGCCAGCATATTGATGAGTACTGACGGCAGGTTCTTCAGGTGTTCAGGTCTGACCTTGTCTGGGCCAGGTGCTGTTCGTTTCTTTACCAATGAAATGGCGTGTCATATTTTGGAGGGGAGAACATTGGGAACGACATATCCATCCTGTGGAATTTGGTATGTGGGCAGGTGGACATGGCTATCGAAGAGATCTGAGTAGAAGTCATGGATAATCTTCTCCATTGCCCTTCTGGAAGATGTGATAGATTCATCAGGACGTCGTAGGGTAGTCATCTTGGTCTTGTAATTGGCGAAGGACAGGCAGGCATTACGAATGCTTTTCCCGGCTTCTGCCGCATCTACCAGTACTTCTGCTCTTCTCTGTTTGAGGTCTTCCTTGATCGCATTTCTGCACTGCTTTGCGAACTCGGACGTTTGCTTGCGGTTGCCTGAGGCATGCGCCAAACCACGTTGGCGAATAAGCTCAAGAGTTTTTGAAGCCAGTCGTCTTTTTGTGACAATCTCTCTTTTGGCGTTCCTCGCACAATCATGGAGGTGCTGAACCAGTTGATCGTATTCCTCGTCAATGTTGTCAACAATGTCATCCTCCCATGTTGCAGCATTAGTGCCAAAGAGCTTCTAGTTGGTGGTCGTTCTGGGAGTTCTCTTCTTAAACTTTGCAGCCCTTTCTCCCCACTCTGTAAAGTAGAATTTTGCATGAAGGAGACGGTGGTCCAATCCTGTTTGGAATTTTGGGACAACAGCAACATCAGTCAGGGAAAACCATTGATTGAATATAATGTGGTCTATTTCGTTGTGGAACCATCCAACGGGAGACTCCCATGTCCAACGTTTAGATTCGACCTTCTGGAACTGTGAGTTACCATGGATGGTCTTGGTCGACATGATGAACTCAGACAGTCTCTCACCCTGTTCGTTCCATTCTAGGCCATGGGTCCCGATGTGGAGTTCTTCGGCTGATCTTCTCAGTCCTATCTTGGCACTAAAATCACCAACAATGATCTTATAGAAGGTGTGGTCTTCTTTATAGAACTTCTCCAATTCCATGTAGAACTTCTCATTTTCTCCTTCATCATAATTGGATGTTGGTGAGTAAATAACAAAGATAGAAACTGCCAGCAGTGAGCCACATCTATTCAAGTGTAAACGTCCGATTCGGGTTGTTAGGCATTTGAATGAATCAATGCTTATGGTCAAGTTCGTGACGCTTCATTCACTCTCAATGGAACAACAATCTCTGAATGCAACAGTTATGTGTACCTAGGTGAAGAAGTCAACATGCCAAATGACCTGGCACCTGAGTTGTGCAGGAAGAAGAGAGCTGCTTGGAACGCCTTCAAAAGCATCGAAGAAATAGCTAAGAGGACAAAGAACCTCCGGCTCTGGGCACATCTCTTTGATTCCACTGTTCTTCCTGCATTAACATACGCCTCAGAGACCTGGGCCCTACGCAAACAGGATGAGAACACTATTCCAGTCTCCCAAAGAGGAATTGAAAGAGCTATGCTTGGAATTTCACGTTTCACTCAAATGAGGGAAAGAATCCAGAGTTCCGCCCTCCATCGAAGATCAAGAATCAGGGACGCTCTCTCGTTTGCCAAGGTATCAAAAATCAGATGGGCTGGACACGTAATGAGATTTGGAGATGACCACTGGACTAGAGCCATTACTGACTGGATTCCACGGGACGTCAAAAGACCGCGTGGCCGCCCACCTACCAGATGGTCAGACTTCTTCATCAAGATCCTGAACGATCGGTTTGAGGCTCTTCACAGACACCATTGGGCTACACTAGCACACGACAGGGACAAATGGAGACGTTACTGGTGCCCGCTCGAACAAATCAACGATTAACGGGAAGTCAAGTGATCAAGTGATCAAACAAAAACCACACTATTCCTGGAGGAAACCGCATACCGCTAGCTGACTTCTCATGCAAATACTTATTGTGCATGACTTTCCAAGGCCAAGCACTGTCGGGACCTCCCAGTCCTTGCCAGGGAAGCACCTGCCTGCCCTTTGTACTTAACCAGTGTCAGCCCAGTGTAGATGGGCACAAAGCTGCTAGCCAGCAGCACCTGGGTGGGCAGAGAAGAGATGGCGGGTGAGCCTCGGGGCCCGCACATGCCCTCGCTCTCTGACCTCAGGCCAGCCAGCGGGAGCTGGCATTTGGCAGCAGGAGGGTGGCGTGCCACATGACGGAGGCAAAAGGAACTGGACTAAAAGCGAGCACTGCAATGTCACCTGCCCGAAGAGGTGCTCGAGTGACTCCCGGTGGACTTGACATACGCTATGGGGCCCTGGGAATAGAACTCGGGTGCCTCGTGCAAGGCACAGGCCCACCCCGCTGGACCATCACTCCGGGCCCTGTTCATCTCATGCGGGCTGGCAGATCTGGAGCCCCTGGTACCTCGTGGGCCAAGTTGGCAGCACCTTGGAACATCTCCCTGGGGTCCCGAGACGGCCGTGCTGATGCACACTGGCTGTGTGTTCCCCTTCGCTCGCCCAATGAGCCACAGGTGCAGCAAAGAGCTTCTGGTGGGGGGCCAGGAAATGCGGGGTGTGGTGGCCGAGAGCTCTGCCCGGGGCGGGGGGGCGGGGGAGAGACTGTGCAGGCCACTCCAGCAGCTGGACGTGCTCCCAGCCACCCATGGACGTCCCCGGAAACCCAGGAAATTCAGCGACTGGCCCTGAGCTCAGATGAGCCGCACTGACTGTCCCTCCGGGGGCTCATCCTCCGTTCTGAGTTTTGCTCTGCAGGGACGAATCGGGCATGGCTGGGCAGGTTTTCCCTTTGCAGTTTGCCAGTCCACAGCTGATGGTAAGAAGAGGATGGGGAAACGTGTTTCTCTAAGGTGGGACACCAGAGTAGAAGGAGCCTGGGCCTGAGGGGTGCTGAGTGATGCTGGAACCTAGGAAGTCACGGACTCATTTCTCCTGGGCGTCCGTTTCCTTGGGCAGCTGCGGTCACAGCCTTCGAGCACAGGAGCAGCTGTAGGTGACACCCGAGGCCACATCCAAGCGTCTGCTGCCCCCACTCATCTCAGCCCGTTCCCCACGGCTCTTCCCAGACAAACTCTCCATGCGTGCCCTTGCCTGCATGTCTCCGTGTGTGCATGGACTGTGTGTACTATGCACACGGGGACAGTGAGCTATAGCAGGATGGCGTATACACACACATGGGGACAGTAAACTACAGCAGGACAGTGTATACACACATGCAGGGACAGTGAGCTATAGCAGGACGGTGTGTCCCACGCACGTGGGGACAGTGAGCCAACACGACCCGGGTGAGGCCGGGGCACAGGGAGGGTGGCCGAGCGCTGGGCAGAGGCGTCAGGAGTCAGTGCGGGCACCGCCGACCTTGATGAGGTCCTCCCGGGAGCTGAAGCTGGACACCAAGTAGTTTTGCCTGGTCCTGGTGTTGGTGATGGACAAGTGCAGTCGGCGGTGGGCCAGCTGGTGGGCTTTGGCGGGGAGGATGGACTCCATCCCACACCTGCAGGGCACAAACGGGTGCTGCGTGAGCCCCCCGCATGCCCGCAGGCCCGCAGGCGGCCCAGGCAGGGCCCTGGCAGAAAGTGGGCTGGGAGGGGCGGAGCAGGGCTGGCCGTGGGGGCCACTGACCTGAGTCGGGCCACGAAGTCGTAGCTGGGCTTCACAGCCCCGAAGGACTGCCCGCGGATTTCTTCAGCAAACGTGTAGATGAACGCTTTACATTCCTGAGAGATCATGAAGAGTCACTGCCTGCGGGGCGGGGGGTGTCCAGACGGATGCGTGGGGTTCTGGACGCAGAGTCGTGTTCTCTGTGAAAAGCACCTGCACCCTGCACCCTCCCCCTGCCCCATCTGGCTGTACCCCAACTTCCGACTCTGCCACCTGCTCTGGGCCTGGGCAAGCAGGCTTCTCCGACCCTCAGTCTCCACCCCTCACCCCCTGGGTTCTGAAACCATCCCGGCCCCGGCTGGCCCAGACGTGGGGAAAACAGGAAACATCTCACGTCTAATCTAGCACTTTCTTCTGCTGCTTCCTCTCTCATCCTGAAGCCCTCGCCACCCTGAAAAGGGATGGGAACGATTTCTGTGTCTGTGTGTGTCAGTGTATTCCTATGTGTCTGTGTGAATCTGTGTGTCTGTGTCTCTGTGTATTTCTAAGTGTTTGTCTGTGTGTGTCTGTGCATTTCTATATGCTGTGTCTGTCTCTGTGTGTACATATGTGTGTCTCTGTATTAGTGTGTGACTGTGTATTTCTACATATATGTCTGTGTGCGAGTCTGTGTATATGTCTCTGTGTATTTCTATGTGTGTCTGTGTCTCTGTGCACTTCTGTGTGTGTCTGTGCGTACATCTATGTCTGTGTGCCTATGTGTATCATTGTGTTTCTGTGTGTGTGTGTGTGTGTGTGTGTGTGTGTGTGTGTGTGGTTGTGGGGCTGTGGGCAGGAACTGAATCCGGAGCTTCTGCCATGTAATTCAAACACTCTGAGGCTGAGCCTGATGCTCAGCCTGGGGGATGGGGGGAGGGAGGGGGAGTTTGCTGGCCTGTTTTCCTGCAAGAGGAGGTTTCTGTCCTCCCTTCTGAATGTCCAGGCCAGGAGCAGCCTTCGTTTCTACTGAATTACCTCTAATTTCTGCGGTGCTGTCAGCAGGACCGTGGACACCAAGGAGCCCGCAGAGGCGCACGCGAAGGCCTTCATGTCCTTCAGCAGCTTGCTGCCGTGCTTGCAAAGGGCAGACACTGCCCCCAAGTGGTAGATGCCCAGGAATCCACAGGTGGCAAAGGACAAATTGATGTGCTTCATTGTAACTGTGGAAGCGGCAACAGAAAACAAACAGACCAAAAAAAACAGAGGCTTCGGTAAGCTGGGATCGTTTCTGAAACTGGGATCTTTTGCTACAAGCTGTCATCCCCAGGGGAATGTCGTCCCCAGGGGAATGTCGTCCCCAGGGGAATGTCATCCCCAGGCTGCCCAATTAATAACTAAGACTCTCTGGGAAGCCCCCAGCTGCCAACTCCTTGCCCCTTCCACACACATACACACATACACACACACACACACACACACACCCCTACACCCCTTTGCAGGGAACATTTTCTTTCTCCTCTCTCACCTGGACCCAATAGTGTCACGAGAGACACAAAGCTACAACAGACCCGTAACTGACCCCTGGGGATGCATCTGCTATGGCTATAAAAGGTAAAAGGTAAAGGCCCTCCCGTTGATCATCGATTTGCTCGAGCGAGCCCAGTAACGTCTCCATTGGAGACTTTGTTGTTACTGTGTTTGGCACATCGAATATGTCACGGGGAGCTTGCCAGGCTCTGCCGTGCGGGCGAGATACTCTCGGTAGCTTGCTGGGCTCTCCGAGAGGTGCGGAGGAATCGAACTCGGGTTGGCCATGTTGGCTGCGTGCAAGGCAAACGCCCTACCGCTGTGCTATCGCTCCAGCCTATGGCTATATTGGTGCTAATTTTTATATTCTTTATTCCTTGACCGGAAACACAAATAAGGCCCAAGGTATTTGCCCCCCTCCCCGTTCTTATTTTATTATTTTCCCTAGATTTTTATGGAACTTTGGGGGGGGGGGTTGGAGAGAGGGTAGAGAAAAATAACATCTGCTGAGATCAGAATTCCAGATGCCAAAACAAGTAACATCTGCAGATCCGAATTCCCGTAGATCCCAAAGGAATGCATCCCAGTTTGCCAACAGCACAGGGGTCAGTGGGGGCAGCAGTCCTAAAGCTTGATATTACTGTCTTGATAGAAACGTTGATGCTTTAGCAGATTTGAAACAGAGGCCCCTGACCCCCAGGCCTGGCCAGGGTGAGGCTGTATCTACATAATCTATGTAGATACTGTTAGGGCACCAATCATGATCTCCCTTTAATGACAAAGAGACTCCAGAGACTGCAAATATCAAGCAAGGTTTATTGTAAGACTGGCTAGCCAGGGTCAAGCCGCCTACACAGACACGCAGGTCAGTTAGGTGAGGCAAGACCCCGAACTTCTTCAAAGGGGATCTTATATAGGCCTTCACTGGCCGTTACAGCAAAGCCCGCACATTTCATAGCCAATAGATTTGTAACAACATATGCTTTCTTAACCAAGCCAATTAAAGGTACATCACTTCTTAGCCTATAGTTTAAAGATCAGCATTTTGCGTTGGTGCCTAGGAACTGACAGGTTTTTAAGGCAGTCCTGGGTCTTGCACATGGGTCTTGTGAGAGACATCCGGTTATCTGGTCTGACCCCCACCCTTCGAGTACCTGTATCTGAATTCCTTGCTCAGGGGCAGAAAAACCAGTTATTTTGCAGTGCAGGCTCCTATAAAGTATATCTGAAAAAGCTTATCTAGACCTGTTCCTTGAAAAACAAGTTATTTTGCAATGCAGGCTCCTATTAAGCTAAGCTAAATTAATTCTGGTGGTAGTCCATTTTGGGCCTGTCCCTCACATTCCTCCCTCTCTCCACTTCATACTGAGGAATCTTCCTCAGCAGGCTGTAAAATCTGATACTGTTGTTTTAGTACCAGTGGCTGGACAGTGTTATTTTGGTGCCTAACAAAGTTCACAAAGCGGTTGAGGACCCAGCAACCAACAGTCACCAAGAGCAAAGGGATGACAACTAGTCTGTCCAGAAGCAGGATGGCAGCGGCCTGAGTGGGCCGGCTGGGCGTCTGGGTCACCACAAAGCCATCTCTTCGGAAGTGTCAGCGGCGTCGGACAGCAGCTTTGGGCCACTCACCGTCTGCTGGGGGACTGTGGGTGCACAGCTCCTGCCGGACCCAGCCAATCATGGCCTGCAGACTGGCCCCACTCGGCAGCCCGCTTGCTTGCTGCCTCTGGCTCCTGGAGCTCGGGCTGTTGATGTGCACCTTTGCACAGGCTGCCAACCACTCTTCTGCTCAGGACCGAGCCAGCAGAGATGAGCACGAGACCCTGCCCCCCAACCACCTGTCCGCGGTGAAGTTCGAGCTGGACGGGCACCTCAACCAGGACTTCCATCAGGAGGTGTTCCTGGGGATGTAGACGGAAGGATTTGAGGGGGGACACCAAGCTGTGCTGGAGCAGCGGGAGCTGATGGTCATATTCTCCAAGGTGGCCGCTGACACTGACAGGAGGGTAGCTAACCAAGGAGACTGGTTAAACCAGGGCTTGTGCCAGCTTTCCTGGGCCTCCCTTTCTCTTCAGCGCTGCTCAAGGCCCTCCCCGAGCTTGGCCATGGAGTCTCAGACCACCCCTGTGTAATCATTATAGAGAAGCAGCATTTTTCTCCCAACACCACACATAAATCCCCATTCTTCATTGCCTTGGAAGGGGGCCTTCCTTGTCTACCTGCCTACATCCTATTGCCCCCCCCCCCTAGAGATTTCACCACCTTGAATCTTTAAGGGAGAATGGCAGAAGGTTCATCTTCTGGAGCTGCTTCATGCTGACAATGGGGCGCTGGCCCTGCCTACACAAGGGGTGAAATCTCATGCTACCTCAGCTTTTTAGTGGCCCTCAGCAATGAATTGGTTGGGTTACTGAAGTTATCTGAAAGAAAAGATCAGTTCGATTAGACTAAGGGATATTACCTTGAAATGGTTAGACCCTGGAGGAGTAGAAGTTCCTTTCTGACCCAGTAAGGACAGAGTTCTCTACCCACAGGTTTGGCTGATAGAAAAATGACTTCCTGTGTCCAGATTTTTCTACTGGACACAGAAACACCAAGCCATTCTCTGGCTTTCTCAGTGCAGATTGGAAAAGCTTCTGCCCATACACTGAAGCTATCAATAAGAACCAACAGATATTTATACATTGAACATATTAGCATTTGATCATTTGCATAAGGTCGAGCTGTGATCCTCCTCTAAGTTCCTTGATGCTGAACAGGTGTTAGGAGAGGAGGATCAAGATTTCCACTAGGTTCATTAATGGCACAGAAAGCACAGTTCTGAGTTACTTCTACCTTACTTGCTACTGAGTCCCTTCCCATGGAAGATGGTTTTCACTAGTGTTAAAGCATAACCCTTTAATAATATTCCACTGCATTGGTCCAGGAGTTAGCAACTTTCCTTGTTGGTAAATCATCCATCAGCTTCCTTTTGGAAACCTCCAATGTCCATCGGTCCTCTTCTGCAGAGCATTCTGGCTCAGAGGAAACATTCTCTGGTGTTAATCCCGTGATGCAACAAAAATTAAGAGCTGTTAAAATCCTTGTTCTCTCCAAATGACTGTTCACAGAAAATGAGATGCAATACAGAAAGTATAGAAAGAAAATTCACAGTATTTTAGAACTAGATATTAATCCATTCTAATTTAACCAGTTTAGATGCCCTTTCTTGACACTTCGGCCAATTCACAGACTGGGGGAAAGCAATTCTGCCCTTTGAGATGAGCTCCACCCTAGTAAAGCTCTGGCTTCCAATGCTCTGATCAGACCAATGACAGCATGTGTAACATTGAGTTCCTTTATAGATTAGGCTGTTTTTCTACAGTCAGTAAGCCAAGTTTTATCTAAATTTCCCAAAAAGGGGGTACCTTTTAGATCAAGATTAGGATACGTTTATTCAATCATCTCTTGTAGAAATAGAATCTGATTCTTACAAAAAGCAAGTGACAGAAACATGGTTTTCTCTCCACCTTCATTTTAAAACGTTGCAAGATAGCTTAACAAACCTGGCTTGTTCTTTTGCATAAACACAGTAAGATTAGAGACCTCTCCATTTGGGATACCCCATTATTTACTGATAAGTTCTGGAGATCTGCTAAAGACAGGAGACACAGCAATAGTGGCATTAATCTGATTTGGCACGTCAGAGCTACCCAGGCCTGGCCAGAAGATGTCCCGCAATGAACTGGAATGGATGGCCTCGAGCCTTCAGGTTGAGCTGGATGTAGCTTTGGGCCTCATTTTCCACAGAGATGTCCTGGCAGAAAGGAGTCCATCCAATCCCTTCTTCAGGGCTTGGAGAAATCCTGGTTTCCAGGTTTTTCCTTGGCTCTGAGAGTAGGCCCAGACTGAGTTAGTCATTGCAGAGTCCTAGATTCTGTATTCTCCACAGCAGTGATGATTTCCAGTCTTTTCTTGAGCCGGCCTGCCTCTAGGGTCGCCCTGAGGTTTGTAGGGTACTTGAAAACAGTACCTGTTAAATCCCTGCTCCTGTCATTTAGACAGATCCCCTGACTATTCCCTGGAAGAGGGCTTTGGGGTCTCATAGTTGGTTTTTCCTGTCTGCATGAGGGGAAGACCCTATTACAGAGAGGAAAGACTTATCTGGATTTATGCAAACCAACATAGTGTCATGAAACATCAAAAACATATTGAGGGTACAAAAGAAGAGAAAAGCAAGCATTTCACTTTACTCACAGAGATGTAATACACCCGTTTGCTGTGAGTCCTAGTCAAAAGAAGCTAAAATCTGTAGAGATAAAGCATACTGTTTAACATGTTTTCAATCCCATGTCAAAACCCTTGATTCCCTGCAACTTTTGAAAAATTCAATTATCTAAGAGCACTGTAACAGGAGTTCGGATAATCCACCTATCGTCTTTTTCATAGATCTTATTAAAAAGGTACTAGAACAATTCTGCATGTGATTTAAAGAGTTTCTTATAACAAAACAATTTGATCAGTTCCTTTTCTTAAACCAACCTCAAACCTCATATACACATTCCTTTTACAAACATTCTGTAACTGGATTCCTTTCCTTTTCCCACTGATATCTCCATCAATTATCTTTCTGACTTAAGACACACATCTATATTCCTAATAGTCATCCCACAAGTTTAACCTCTTATTTTACTGAACTTAGTACA